TGGTAAATGTATTGCAGGTCTTTGTTGTCTAGTCGTTTAGTTGTGTCCAATTCTTCGTGACGCCATGGACCAGACCACACCAGGCCCTCCTGTCTTCCACTGCCTCCCAGAGTTTGGTCAAATTCATGTTGGTAGCTTCAATTATACTGTCCAACCATCTCATTCTCTGTCGTCCCCTTCTCCTCTTGCCTTCACAATTTCCCAACATCAGGGTCTTTTGCAGGGAGTCTGCTCTTCTCATGAGATGGCCATAGTATTGGAGCCTCAGCTTCAGGATCCCTCCTTCCAGTGATCACTCAGGGTTGATTTCCTTCAGAACAGATAGGTTTGATCTCCTTGCAGTCCAGAGGACTCTCGAGACCACAATTGAGAATCCAGCACTACAATTCAAAAGCATCCTCCAGCACCACAATTCAAAAGCATCAATTCTTCGGCTGTCAGCCTTCTTTATGGTTCAGCTCTCACTTTCATAAGTACCTTCCTTCTCTTTTTTTACTGCAAAACAAGGAGGAGAAAACACATGCACTAGTGTCGGATACAGTCTACCAATGTGCTTCCCTCATTGACTCATCCTTTTTTGTTTTAAGTACGTGCATCGGTGGAGTACTGTACACTTAGTATATACCAGAAGAAGGATCAAGGCTCCCTTTGAAGAATTTTAGCTGTTTTATTTGTTAGAATGTATTCCTTTCAGTTAAAATTCTTTATTCTTGAAACCACAGTTTTGAAAGGCGTCTTGCTGGGAAGGAGAGGGAAAAAACCTTGTGGACTGAACTGTAAGTTAAAATGTTTAAGTCAGGGATACCAAGCTGGGCAATTTGGAGTTATTGGAAAGTTGCCACTGTACCTGTTGATCTGTATTTATGTTACTCGACTAAGTAACCTTTGCCAGCAACGTGAACTAAGCATAGCGTGAAAGTAGCCATTGGAAACATGCAGGAACTCAGGATGACATTTTGTGCTTGCCAGTGTTGGGGAAATTATATTGCCCCTTCCCAGGTAATCTCTGTAATGGAGGATTGGTGTTAAGGCCAGTAATCATGTTTCAATTAATAGGGAGTGGACATGTTGCATTTTCTGGTTTACTTCTGACTGAGTCTCAGATGTGACTGGAAGTGTCTTTCCTTAAGAAGGAAACTGGTTAGGGAGAGCAAGAAAAGAAATTCATCATGTGCGTGAACCTATCATGAAAGTTGGTGGCTGCAAAAGCTGAGGTCTCAAAAATAAACATTGGTCTGAAACAGAAGCATCCTGTGTGAATTTACTCATTTGTCACTAATTAACCACCTTTATGACACTTGACCAATATAAAAAAAGAGATACCAATCTTATTGGTTGCCCTGTCTTTCCTTAACATCGACACAACTTCAAATGAGCGTATGGTTTAATTGTGTTTTTTTTAATGTTTGACTTACTATTTTTTAAATTCTGTTTTAATGTTATGAGCTGCCTTGGGTCCCCTTATCAGAAGAAAGGTGGCCTTTAAAACAAACAAATGAACAAACAAACAAACAAGGACTGTGACAGGAAAAGTGGAATCTGGAAGCCACATGCGTTGCCTAAGATTCAAACATAACCTCTATACCCCCCCTTTTTTAAAAAAACACCCTGGATTTCACCATGTTTTGAGTCTCCCAACATGCATGCCACCCATTTTTTTTATAATTAAAATGTTTGGCCACTAAAGGGCCAGCTCTGTGAGTTGATACAGAAATTAGAATAAACTTGGTTGTAGTCACTCATACTGTAGACACATAAGATGTTGGAGGGGACCTGTTGCTGCTTACTTCCTCTGTGGGACCTCAGAGAGCAGGAGGGGTTGGCATTGTGTGGTACTTTGTTAATACCTTCTGATTTTTTTAAAAAAAGCAAATTTCAGGAAAAGCTCTCTTTGAACATTTGGAAAGATTCGGTAACTAGAGTCATGTAGCAGAGAGCAAATTTCAGGAAAAGCTCTCTTTGAACATTTGGAAAAATTCTGTAACTAGAGTCATGTAACAGAGTGTTCATATACCCTTAAATATCAGTTTGTTTAGGAAAAGCTCTCTTTGAACATTTGGAAAAATTCTGTAACTAGAGTCATGTAACAGAGTGTTCATATACCCTTAAATATCAGTTTGTTTGCTGGTGTGGCTTCTCTTGCATGCCAGGCCCTCCTATCTTCTACTGCCTCCCGTGTTCATACACTCTTAAATATCAGTTTGTTCGCTGGTGTGGCTTCTCTTTCTGTTTTGGAACCAGCAGCTACCCGTTTCGCATTCAGATTTTTGAGGATGCATGCCTTCCTGGTGGACTTCCCCTAAAGATACTGTGACCTTGATATGCAAAACTGTGATGTGGCACAAAACTCATGATTTCCTTTCATCTCCCCTCCTGCTGTCATTCTTGATTTAGATGTTAACTATGCTAGAAGGTTGTGATCCGTTTTTAGTAGCATCTGTTCTCATGCACTTGTCAAGTACAAAGTAGGTTTTGACATTTTAGCAAGTTATGTGGCCCTTTTATTCCCAACTACCCAAGGCGTAGAAGATTTTGTCATCAAACTTGTCAAGTACAAAGTAGGTTTTGACATTTTAGCAAGTTATGTGGCCCTTTTATTCCCAACTACCCAAGGCGTAGATGATTTTGCCATCACAAGTGACAAATACAGTGGACCCTCGACTTCCAGACTTTTCAAGTTACAGACTTCTCTGGCTGCAAAATTTAGATTTGACTTGCAGCCGGAGAATCGACTTACAGACCAGAAAAAAACTAAAATGGAACAAAAATAGAATAAAAACTGCCAGTTATGGGATTAATTGGTTTTCAATTCATTGTAGGTCAATGGAGACTCGACCTGCAGACTTTTCGAACTGCAGCCACCGTTCCAATACAAATTAATTCTGTAAGTAGAGGGTCCACTGTATTTCGGTGGGAGCTCAAGAAAGGAGCCCCCTTTGCTCTCCCTCCTGTACATCCCATTCCCAAATCAAGCTCTGGAGGGTCCTCTGAAGTAAATTTGAAGGTTATACCTGGATGATAGAGAAAGAGAGTGTGTGCCAAGTGTTAGTTAACTTCAGGAGAGGCAGTGGGGGAAGTAAAGAAAATATAGTATTTGTTCATCATGAAAAGAGTTGGAAAATTAGGGTATGTTTGGGAGAAGATTGGTAAGGTCACTGGATAATCTTTTGAAAAGTAAAGCCAGTTGCCTGTGATACTGTGAACTCACCAGTCCCAAGACTTTGTTTCTTTTTAAGTAATAAAATTATCATTATTTATTATTATTATTTGTAGGCTACCTTTCTCCCAATAAGGGGACCCACAATAAAAGAACAGAATTAAAAACATAGTAAGTTAAGCATTAAAAAACAAACTCTGTGCTAACTAAAATAAGATTAAATGATTAAAAGTAAGGAAACATTAAAAACTATCTTAACTCTTAAGAAGGTATTCAGGGATTCAGTCACGATTGTTAAAAGCCTCCCTGAAGAGGGAGGGAATGGCCTTCTCTTATGTCTCCGTCCTGGCAATGCAGCCAAGAGGAGCACCTCCTCTGGAATCTTAAGCGCTGAAAAGGCTCATAGAGGAATATAAGGTCCTTCAGGTTGCCTGGACCCCAAGCTGTATAGGGCTTGGGGAACTACTTTAAAAAGCAGAAAAACCTATGCAGAATACTTTTAAAACATTAGCATGGGTAACAGGAACAAATTACTTTTCAAGCTCTGTCTCCTTTTTTTGTTTCAAAGTTTTCCGTATCTCATTCTAGATCCAAGGTGCTTTTTTAAAAAAAATGTGTTGAGACTCCAATAAAAAATACAAGGAAAACATAGGGCAATATTATGTTGCATTAAGAAATTGGGAGAAGGGCGATTGCGTATGAGTTCCCCTACTCAAGCAGACTTTCCATTGCATGCCCAGTCTTAACTGGTTGTGAAATTTGTTGCATAGCCAATTGTGTGACTGGTTGTGTGACTGTGTGCCAGAACGGGGGGAAAACCCATGCCATTTCCCTTACAGTGCGCACAGGATACTAGCCATTCTCTGAAAGTGCCTGTGACTTTCCTGCACATACCTTTTCATAGTGTAAGGTAAAGGTTCCCCTTGACAATTTTTGTCCAGTCGTGTTCGACTCTAGGGGGCGGTGCTCATCCCCGTTTCCAAGCCATAGAGCCAGCGTTTTGTCCGAAGACAATCTTCCATGGTCACATGGCCAGTGCGATTTAGACACGGAACGCTGTTACCTTCCCACCGAGGTGGTCCCTATTAATCTACTCGCATTTTGCATGCTTTCGAACTGCTAGGTTGGTGGGAGCTGGGACAAGTGATGGGCGCTCACTCCGTCATGTGGATTCGATCTTACGACTGCTTGGTCTTCTGACCCTGCAGCACAGGCTTCTGCGGTTTAGCCTACAGCGCCACCACGAATGTTCTCTAAATATATGTGTACTCCAAATGCTGCAAGGGTCTCTCAGGAGGTGGCAGTAAACCAGCCCTCCCATGGCTTTGTGGAATGAGTGCATCGTTGCCTCATGGTTATTGCTTGACAATAGGCTGAATTGATTGAGGACTCCTAAGGCAAGATACTTTTACAGTTGAGAGGAATAATATGTAGACTATAGCATCTAGAAGGACTTGTCATGACAAACTCTCGTTGTTCATAAATAGAAATATTGATGTTTAATTCTATTCTGCCGACATGCAAGTCTGAAAGACGGACTAAGACAGTGTTGCAACTATTCTGATTAAAATGAGCATATAGCATCATAAAATGCTGCAAAATCAAATAAGAGCAAAGGATACCATTGGTAGAATTGTAAATTAAACTTTAAAATACATTAGCTTGTTTTTTGTTGCTAAAGCAATAAGAAAACTCTTTAAGAATTGTACGTGCTTGTGAATCTTAGTGGTTGTAGGGGGACATTCTTGCAATTTGGTTATGTTTTCTCCAGTGATAATCTTATGAAGTTAAAAAGTTATCCAAATGTTTATGTGAACTTAAATTGGTTTTGTTGTTCTTCTAGGTTAAAGAGTCCATATTTCACAACATCAGCTTGGAACTACATCGTTGTTCACTTTTTTGTTGCCTTTCTCACTCCATTTAAACATAGATGTCCTTGTCTTTTACCTCTTCCATTATACAGGTAAGTTATCATTTGGTGGCGAAACCACAATATCCATATTTACTCCTAAACTGTATGATATTGTTGATCTCCTTATCCTTGTTTGGGGGACTGGCTAAATAAATAAATCCAGTTCCTCAAAAAAAAGTCTGGTTTATGAATGTGAGATATTTTGCTTCTGTAGCCACAATTGAAAATGCCAGAAAATGGCTTGATATTGTTGCACCATATCATGCCCACATTGCCAGCAGAAAAAGGACGCCAAATTTTGCTTAGCAAAAAGCAGCCTGTGAATGTTGACAATACCAGTGGTCGCAGTCAAGATGGTCTACAGGATACCCTCTTGTGGAGCCTGCATAGCACGTAACCTCCCTGCATAATTAAAATGTAAACCCACCCAGAGAGTGCTTTAAGTGCTATGGGGTGGTATATAAGCAGCATGCTTTGCTTTATTTGCTTTACACTTATTACCATTCACAAAGTGACACGACACAATGGAAAATTCGAGAAGCCGACTCCTTTATTTTTACTCAACCCCTTCTCACCCCAGCACAAATTAATTGTCAGATCTGTTTTTCAACAAGAGTGAATGGCAGCTGTAATTCTTACCCAGAATACAGTCTCACGTTTTTTTAATATTGCTGTCTTCCCCACCCCTCCCCTTTTATCCACCCTCAGCTTCTTCCCTTTCAAAAATAAGTTCTGATGACTGATATAGTGCTGACTTGAAATGGCAACTTGCCAGCCTAGCACCGCTCAGAGCTAAGTAAAAATTCAGTTTGAGTGATGGGAATAGCATGTTTTAGTTTATGTTGAGGATGGTGCTGCTTCCTGGAAATATTATATAAATAGGATGAGTTCAAAAGTGCCCCAGCCTAGCACCGCTCAGAGCTAAGTAAAAATCCAGTTTGAGTGATGGGAATAGCATGGTTTAGCCGCCTAGAGTGGTCGAAATGACTAGATAGGCGGGGTATAAATAAATAAATAAATAAATGGTTTAGTTTATGTTGAGGATGGTGGTGCTTCCTGGAAACATTATATAAATAGGATGAGTTCAAAAATGCCCCGTGTGTGCACTGTTTTGCATACAACTCTCCTTTTCTCTTTAAATGAGAATTCTAGATTGTGGGGAACGGAGTCAGTTTATCCAGACATGTCAGATGTTTTTGTCTTTCCAGTGCCTTAGTGGAGAGTGGGGCACAAGAAGATCTGAAGGAGAAGGAAACACTTTGATTTGAAAATTGTGCCCGTGTGTTAAAAAAAACAAACCATACAAATGGGTTTGAAAATCCTGTCTGACTTAACATCGCCGTGTTTGCACCACTTCATTAAAAGAAGACTGGAGCAGCAGTGTGGGCATGGCATGCGTGTATGAGTGTGGAAGATGTTGCATGTTAACATATCAAAGAAAACACATCTTTGCAGGTTCTCCTTCAAATAGTCTTTCCTTTGAATCAATGATTACCAGCTTGGGATACATGTGGCCCCAGGGGTGTGAATCAGGACATTTATGGGTACAGGGCACTTACATCAACAGCGTGAAGACAAGATGCAAGTCAAAAGTTGTGAAATTAATTGAACATTATGAACAGCTTTCACCTTTGAGTTGTGCCACACCGGTACTGGCGTATAGATAAGTAGGCACCTCCATGAGCAATGTTCAATGAGTGAGCGTCCAGGTCTTCTGTGATGTATTTACTTGAATTCATTGTATTTCTTGAGTTTTGAATGTAAATATAGATGCACTGTTTGTTTACCTTATTCCATTGCTTTTTAATCGAATTGTTGGGCTACTTATCTACAGTTTCAATATTATAAATTTGAAACAATAGCAAGCGTATTAATTACAAACATTTTACTAATGGGAAGGGTACAATTTATGGAAATAGGCCAAGGGGTACACGGGTGAAGAAAGGTTAGGAATGCTAACATTTTAAAAAAGTCTTCTGAGGAAAGATGAGGGGGATGATCACTAGAGAAGGATTTTCCTGGTGTACTGCCACACCATTGTGCACTGAAGACATCTCTGTCAACATCATCTGGGACACTTCTACTACTGCTCCTTTGAATTATTGGAGTCATAAATAACAGAAACAAAAGCAAAATGGTGTTCATGGAATGACCACAAAAATATTAGCCCCCTGTTGGCCAAACTAAGTGTAATTCATTCATTCATTCATTCATTTAGTTTATACCCCACCCATCTAGACTGAAGTCTACTCTGGGTGGCTAACAATAATGAATAGAAGTAAAAACAATATAATAAAGATAACAGTAATAATATCTTCAAGATGGCAAAAGTATCTAGGCGATGACAGGAGGGAAAGCCTGCCTAAAGAGCCAGGTCTTAAGTTGATCTTTAAAACACCAAGCAAGGGAGCCAGACATATCTCTGCGGACAGACTGTTCCAGAGAAGACTGTTCCAGAGGCGAGGGGCCACTGTCGTGAAGGCCCAGTTTCTTGTTTTTTCTCTCTTGGCCTCCCTCAGTGTTAGGCCCATCAGCCACCCGTCTTAGCTTGAATGAGTGATTTGGGTAGATTTAGGTTGGAAGAGGCGTTCCGCTGGATATTGAGGTCCTAAACTGTTTCAGGGCTTTTATATGTCATCATTAACAGCTTGAAATCAATGTGGAAACAAACAGGCAGCCAATGCAAGGTGGGCAGAGTAGGAGAAATATACTGATATATTCTCACCCCAGTGAGAAATCTGGCTACCACATTCTGAACCATTTGAAGCTTTTGCATCAGTCTCAAATGTAGCCCCATGCAGAGCGCATTACAGTAATCTAATCCCAAGATTTCAAGCGCATGGACCAGAGTGTGAGCGCCCCAACATCAAGATAGGGGCACAGCTGGGCAATCTGCCACAGATGGAAATAAGCGGAGCGGACCACTGACACCACCTGGGTTTCCATGGTGAGCACTGGATCCAGATGGACCCCCAAGCTGCGAACCTCACTCTCCGCGGTGAGAGTCACTTCCCCAAAAGAGAGGGAGTTTTCCAAACCACCAATGGTAAGGCCACCCACCCTCAGGACCCTCCGTCTTGTTCGGATACAGCCTCAGTCCATTCTTATACATCCATTGCAGTACAGCCTTCAGGCAGCACTGAAGGGATGGAACGGCATCCACTGTTTTTGGGAAAAAGGAGATGTAGAGCTGGGTGTCATCAGCGTATTGATGACATGAAGCTCCACACCCCCTGATAACCCCACCCAGCAGCCTCATATAGATATTAAATAGCATTGGGGAAATAATCGAGCCCTGTGGAACCCCACAATTGAGGCTCCACGGGGCCGAGACACTCTCCCCAAGCTGTACTCTCTGAGGACGGTCCTCCAAGAAGGATCGAAGCCAGGCAAGTGCCAGTCCACCGATTCTCAATTTGGAGAGCCTTCCCAGGACCATACCGTGGTGAACGGTATCGAAGGTGGCTGAGATATCGAGGAGCACTAACAGAGACATTTTGCCCTGTTGGCCTCCCTCAGCAGGTCATCAAACAGGATGACCAGTGCCATTTCCGTGCCATGGCGTGGCCTGAAGCCCGACCGGAATGGATCCAGGGCATTGGTTTCATCCAAAAGGACCTGTTGCTGGTCAGCCACCACCCTATCTACTACTTTACCAATGACCACATAAGTGGACTGGAAATCCTTGCAGTATGCTGTACTTCATGTAGTTGTTGGAAAGTAATTAAAAACTGCCATTGACAGCTGCACCAAAAAAGGCAAGACAGATTGGAGTATAGTTAGAACCTAAGATTCAGCCAGTTAGAACCACTGTTACAGGGTATGAGTTCTCTCTTCTTGATTCTACAGATTTTTTAGATATTGCCCCCCAGAACTATTTTCCTTTCTGGCTGGAGATTAAAAGGAGTTTAACTCACTTTCTCCGTGTTAAAAAGGATGACATGTGGAGGACCAGCGGTGTTTTCGGACATTAGAAAAGAGGAGTTTATACTGTAGACTCTGTCTTCAACATCCTGTTTTCCACAGCGTGACTTGAAGGCAGTACACTAAAAACCCTTGTTGCTATTGTTCTCCAGAAGTTTGTATGAAGGGGTATACTGCTTCTGAATCTGGATTCCCATACGGTAACTTCGGCTAATAGTCATTAAGAACGTAAAATTATTCTATGTCATGACCTTTCCAGAATTGTGATCCATAATTGTTCTCTGAAGCTATTCAAAGCTAAAGAATTGTGCTTCGACAATTGCTTTGCAGAGTTTATCCATCAGCTCCATACATTAGCTTAGCAACAGCTCCCTATTGAAAGCTGCCGTTGCAAGAAGTACAAATAACATGATTTTGACATTAATTTTTGCAAATTAGCATGTAAAGATACCCTGTGGAGAGCTGCCAGTTTAAGTTTAAATAATTATTCCTAGAAATGTGTTGGTTGGATCACAGTGAATAGAACAACTTAGTAGGTGTATGGTTGCCTAGTGCTCCATTGAATAAGCCCAGTCTTAAAGCTTTGCATTAATAGTTCCATTGAGAAAAATAGAAATACAGCTTCTTTCCAACCCTAGAGTTCTGCAAAGCAGATTAAGCTATGGGAACTCCATCCTGCCTCCCCCCCCCCATTTTCAGATTACAGTGCAGTGATGCCTTGATTTACAAACTTAATTGGTTCCGGAACTCTGGTTGTAACTTAAAATGGTCATAAGTCAAAGCACCATTTCCCATAGGAATGCACTGAAATGCAATTAATCCTTTCCGACCGAAGGGGAAAAAAATCACCAAACAACAACACTGCAAGACCCATAGGAAACGTGAGTAATCCATTCTGGCCGAAGGGTGGGGGGAAGCAAAGCAAACAAACTGTGCAAGACCCTTTGGAAATGCAAAAAAAGCAAAAGCAAACCATGCAAGACCCATCGGAAATGCAATTAATCCATCCCAACCAACAGAAAGAAAAGAAAGAAAAGCAGAGAAACCATTCAAGACCCTTCAGAAATGCAAAAAAAGCAAAGCAGAAAGCAAACAAACTGTGCAAGACCCTTTGGAAATGCAAAAAA